GGGTTAGTAGATACATGAATTAGAAAGAAAATGAGATTTTAATTATTTACCGTTATGTCCTCTCGTGGAATTATTTCTATCTTGGAATGGAGTTTACAGTGTTCTGTCGGACATAAGAACTGGGTATCTCAGACGGGTTATATCTCTTAACATGCTATTGTTCATCAGGCTGCATTTCGTTATTGCAACCCGACAATCTGGTTGCATGATTATTCTGTTATGTAGAGTTTCGTTACCTGTTGCTCGGGGGGCTGGATTTATGAAAAGTCTATCAGATCCACTCATCCTGGAGGCAACCTTTTAGCCTCGCGTTGTCACGATAATAACAGTGTGATAAGAATAAAGTATGCATATTTATATTTTGTAATATTCACGTCCTTATGTATGCATGCTCACCGAGAATTATGAACCCAAGTTGTCTTTAATGATATATATCTATATCATTATTATGTATATGAGCGTATATAACACGTGACCTGAAAGAAGATGGTGAGGTCGCGCTGAAGATTTCTGGACGAATATAGCGGTGCGTGGTTGCCTCTGCTAATCCAGGCTAATGGCGGTTTTAAAGGGCTAGTCTTCTGACATACCTTGCCGCAGCTTAACATGGATACCCCACTCAGACACAGTATACTGACTCAGAGCCGACCAAGGCTTGTTTTATGCCGTCAATGCCGAAAGGCAGTGATACAACAAGCAGCATCTTCTAACGTGTTTTGTTGTGACGCGTAAAGGGGATCGATCCCCGGACCTTCCGCTCTCCGGGCAGATGAGCTGGATGCTCTTTCCACTACATACACCAGGAGGCAGTCGGCTGGAAAGAAGCATCACTACATGTCCGGTGCCATATATATGCAAGATCAACACTGTTTATATTCATACATACCACTGACATAAATGATGCATGGCTTCAAAGTGCTTCAAGTTGGATATCGACTGTGGGGTTTGGGGTTAATCAGCATTCATAGAATAGTTTTGCAAGTAGAACCAGACAACCACGTTGTATTTATTTCTAAAAGAGCCGACAAAAGTAAAGGGAATCATGTCCTTGGGCAAACGTGTTTTTTTTTAATATACTTTTCCTTAAGTACAGGGATGCTGTCCATAATGACAGGGTGAGCATGACGTGTATAGTTTCACCGAAGCAGCATCAGCAACACATGGCGTCGAGTGCTTATCTCATGTGTTTCTAGCCATCAGATGCATATATATATATATATATATATATATATATATATATATATATATATATATATATATATAACCCTGGGGTTATATATATATATATATATATATATATATATATATATATATATATATATATGCATCTGATGGCTAGAAACACATGAGATAAGCACTCGACGCCATGTGTTGCTGATGCTGCTTCGGTGAAACTATACACCCCAGGGTTATATATATATATATATATATATATATATATATATATATATATATATATATATATATATATATATATATATATATATATATATATATATATATAGGGTGTAAAGTCATACACATATGTATGACTCAGTGTTCTACACTAAAACGACCCCCAAGGATGTGTCACGCCGTGTCCATGGCAACTGACTTTTGACACTCAACGCTTTCACATATCGTTTCACATATGTCATTCTGAAAATGCATCCAGATGTTCTCGCGCTCCGTTTTGTCTACCGGTATAACCCAAGCCTCCTATTTAACATTATTTTCGTATGCCAACAGCCGTTCTCAAGACGTGCGTCGCGTGGATCCGAAAGCTTTATGTCAGTACCTGACCTCTTTATGAGTGTATGGGTGCGCGCAATTCCCACAGATATGGAACACTAATGGAACGCTATCACACATACAGGCTATCAAAACAAGCCGTCAAACTGCGTATCTCTCGGCGGGCTGTGCTTGCGGCACCTTACAGACTCCCCAATTCTGGTTAAATGGCTTATCTATCTGATACACGTTCAATGTATATCCCTTTAATCTGGACACTACTTCCTCCACTCACATCGTTTCGAATAACGACTTATGGCAATGATGTTACACGTGAGTGAGAGGAGAGAGAGTTGGTGAGTGAGAGAGAGAGAGAGACGCAGAGAGGGATAGAGAGAGCGCTTGGTAAGTGAGAGAGAGCGAGATACAGACATTGAGAGAGATCGGGTGAGTGAGAGAGAGACGCTATGAGAGAAACGCACAGAGAGGGGCGGAGAGAGAGACACACACACAGAGAGAAAGAGAGAGAGAGAGAGTGAGAGAGATACGCTAAGAGATCTACGCACAGAGAGGGGCGGAGAGAGAGAGAGAAAAAAAGAAAAGGGTTATGAAAATACAGAGAGTCCCCAGGGTTCCTTTGTATTACATATATCAAATAATATAACCACTGTTTTTGTAAAATATGTTCACGTCAGAGGCTAGCCTAGCCAAAAATGAACACGGCCGACATCTCGCATATACCATCCTTCTCACCAGAATTTCGAGCGATACACACTTGTGACCCTTGCTCTGATAATCGATCTCTCTGACCAGAATAACGAGTGAATGCTCCAGATAAAGTCATACGTGACTCTTTAGTGCAGAGCACATTTGCAATTCCAGCTCGAAGTGGTTGGAACAGAAGCAGAAATGCGTTAACAGTCCAACGAATTCCGTGGTATTCATCTAAACCCACGCGGGCCACACACTGCTACAAAGGTGTGACTTGCCCTCGCGCAGAAGCCTGATAATAACATTGCTATGGAAACATTTTTTTCGCGATCCGATGTACAAGGAGGGATTGTTTTAGCGTCAAGGTTTATGGGATAACCTACATACACATGGACAATAGGAAACATTCTCTCATGTCCCAGGTTTTTTTAGAGGATCACAAATGGTCATGAAGAAATGGAGGTTGGGTAGTCTCCACTGTTATTTTATATTATTAAAGTTTGAAAATCGTGATATTTTACTGGTATATGACACAATAGCTATATCAACTAATATTAGTAATACATGTTTGATTGAAAGTGTTGATCTGTCTAACAACAGAACAGGGCGGTTGAATGAACCCCATTGTCATTCGATACGTTTGTTGTCAAGTAATGTGTTTCATCTCACACCCAAAGATAAGTGTTATCCAGTCAAAATATAACCAGCGAAATAACCTTGGAGTTAACATATTATATAAAGATGATATTAAAATATAACCATATGTTTATCATTACACAGCAATAAAAAATCGTGTACATTTCATGAAGGTTTTGATCATGGTCTAAACATCGGGGGCACGGGTGGCCCAGTCGTCTTAGGCACCGCTATTCGCTGTGCAGAGTTGCGTCCCTTGGCCACGCCAGAAACCTATGGTTATGGGTTCGAATCCCGGTTCGCCCCGATTATGTTTCTAGGTTTGTCAGCACCATACTCGTGCTCGTGGGTTTCACCGAAGTGGTAAACGTCTAAGACCTGCATCAATTCGGGCTTTCCTCCAACATTAAGCTGACTCGCCGCGATATAACTGGAATAATGTTAAAAGCGGCGTTAAACCCAACTCACTCACTCACTCTAAACATCGAACTTTGGAAAGAAGAAGCTCTCTGGCCTGTAGAGAAACACGTTGGTGCTCTGTCTGTCTGTCTGTCCGGATAAACCGAGAGTCCCGGACAGGTCACCCGTGTTGTGATAGGAGGCACGGGTGGCCCAGTCGTCTAAGGCTCCGCGAAACCTATGATTGTGGGTTCGAATCCCGGTTCTGCCCGATTATGTTTCTAGAATTGTCAGCACCATACCTGTGCTCGTGGGTTTCACCGAAGTGGTAAACGTCCGAGACCAGCATCACTTCGGGCTTTCCTCCCACATTAAGCTGACACGCCGGGATATAACTAATGCTGTTAAAAGCGGCGTTAAACCCAACTCACCCACTCGCTCGTATCGCGATAACCATTTACAAAATAATTTGACCTCTGTATAAGAAGGAAATAGATACTATGTTTTGATAAAAAAAAAATGGGTAGTGGCTACACCCATTGTTCTATCGCTTACAAAAATAACAGTATTATGAATACCCCTAAGCTATTGACATTGTTAATGAACGCAGCACGATATAAAGTTTTAGGGCCCCGCTACTGTACACAGATGACGCCATCATTGTGGTTCGTACAGCCAAGCAAAATGACACATGGCGACTTTTTATTTTCTAACAATTGTACACTTTTGTTTCAACTGACCTAATCTAAAGTGCTTCTGGATACCAAGACGGCATCGGTATCCAATTACACGTGACGTGTTGGTTTGGAAAAGTCTTGAGTGAGTGAGTGAGTGAGTTGGGTTTAACGCCGCTTTTAACAGTATTCCAGTTATATCGCGGCGTGTCAGCTCAATGTGCGAGGAAAGCCCGAAGTGATGCAGGTCTCAGACGTTTACCACTTCGGTGAAACCCACGAGCACGGGTATGGTGCTGACAAACCTAGCAACATAATCGGGGCGAACCGGGATTCGAACCCATAATCATAGGTTTCTGGCGTGCCCAAGGGACGCAACTCTGCACAGCGAATCGCGGCGCCTTAGACGACTGGACCACCCGTGCCCCCGGAAAAGTCGTAGGGAAATGATAAATTACGATACTCCCCGTTCCCGTGACTTTAACACTCAGATGTCACTTAAACTCCTTTCTGTACATATGTATCTTCATATAGTCAGTGTTGTATGTCTGAATTCTCCTTCGATCAATACGCACGACCCATTCACCCCCATAGCTTCGTTTCGGAAGAGACGTCACGATCTCCATGTCTCAACTCAGCGCAGACAGTCGCTGGCCAATGGGACTAATATGATTAGGCGGCAATAGCGTTTATTCGAATCGGTAGCAAAAACGAAGTTTCGTAGCAAATGGGTCAAACTTCAATGACTAACCATTTCTTGTTTGTGTTAAATTAAATTTAAGCCACAGCCAGATGGTTGTATATTTTCGTTTACCCGGCAGTATATTATTTTCGGACAGCTCAGTAAATGCTTTTGTGTATTTATTGCAGGGTACCACACGTCCAGTGCCTGTCCCGAACCTCAGCAACTTGTTCAGGATGTACAGACATGCCTTGGAAGCATGATGATGTTCGTAAACGCAGATAAAAACGACAGGAAATCAAAATGCCCGTAAGTATATTTCTCTGTGAGGTTTTAGTGTAAGATGTGGGATGATTAATATAAAGCAGGTGTGGTTTGAAACATAGATTTGTTGTAGGGTGTATTGTGAGGGTGTGGTGTGGGTGTTGTAGTGTGTATTGTGAGGGTGTGATGTGGGTGTTGTAGGGTGTATTGTGAGGGTGTGGTGTGGGTGTTGTAGGGTGTATTGTGAGGGTGTGGTGTGGGTGTTGTAGCGTGTATTGTGAGGGTGTGGTGTGGGTGTTGTAGCGGGTATTGTGAGGGTGTGGTGTGGGTGTTGTAGCGTGTATTGTGAGGGTGTGATGTGGGTGTTGTAGGGTGGATTGGGAGGGTGTGGTGTGGGTGTTGTAGGGTGTATTGTGAGGGTGTGATGTGGGTGTTGTAGGGTGGATTGTGAGGGTGTGGTGTGGGTGTTGTAGGGTGAATTGGGAGGGTGTGGTTTGGGTGTTGTAGGGTGTATTGTGAGGGTGTGATATGGGTGTTGTAGGGTGTATTGTGAGGGTTTTGGTGTGTGTGTTGTAGGGTGTATTTTGAGAGTGTGATGCAGGTGTTGTATGGTGTATTGTGAGGGTGTGGTATGTGTGTATTGTAAGGGTGTGGTATGGGTGTTGTAGGGTGTATTGTGAGGGTGTGGTATGGGTGTTGTGGAGTATATTTATGAGGATGTGGTATGGGTGTTGTTGGGTGTATTGTTGGGGGTGTTTTAGGGTGTATTGTGAGGATGGGGTATGTGTGTATTGTGAGGGTGTGGTATGGGTGTTGTAGGGTGTATTGTGAGGGTGTGGTATGGGTGTTGTGGAGTATATTTATGAGGGTGTGGTATGGGTGTTGTTGGGTGTATGGTTGGGGGTGTTGTAGGGTGTATTGTGAGGGTGTGGTGTGGGTGTTGTAGGGTGTATTGTGAGGGTGTAATGTGGGTGTTGTAGCGTGTATTGTGAGGCTGTGGTGTGGGTGTTGTAGGGTGTATTGTGAGGGTGTGATGTGGGTGTTGTAGCGTGTATTGTAAGGGTGTGGTGTGGGTGTTGTATGGTGAATTGTGAGGGTGTGGTGTGGGAGTTGTAGGGTGTATTGTAAGGGGTGTGGTGTGGGTGTTGTAGGGTGTACTGTGAGGGTGTGGTGTGGGTGTTTTAGAGTGTATTGTGAGGGTGTGGTGTGGGTGGTTTAGAGTGTACTGTGAGGGTGTGGTGTGGGTGGTTTAGAGTGTACTGTGAGGGTGTGGTGTGGGTGGTTTAGAGTGTACTGTGAGGGTGTGGTGTGGGTGGTTTAGAGTGTACTGTGAGGGTGTGGTGTGGGTGGTTTAGGGTGTATTCAGGGACATATGGTGCGGGTAATGTAGTGTGTATTGTGACAGAGGTGGTGTGGGAGTCGTAGGGTGTATTTTGAGGATCTGGTGTTGGTGTTATAGGGATGTGATGTGACTGTGGTGATGTGAGTATTGTAGGGTGTATTGAGACACAGGTGGTGTGGGTATTGTAGAATGTATTGTGACAGGTGTGGTGCGGTGTTATACGGTGTATTGTGACACAGGTGTTGTAGAGTGTAAAGTGACTGATATCGTTATTGTGTTATCAGGTGTAGTGCGAAGGGGATGTTGTTGTTGTGGTGTTGGTGTTGTTGTTGGTGGTGGTGGTGGTGGTGATACATGAGCAGTGGGATGTGGGTGATGAGTGCATGCGTGGATGCGTATTAGCCAACAACGTGCAAACATCGATATAACGTTTGCAACATGGCAGATGGGCCTTCCGGTTTGAATCTGAACCCTGGGATAGGAAACCGTATGTTTTAGTCTCGTTCCTGCCCACAACAGCTGACAACCTATGTATTTCGCGTATGTTAACCATACGTGTATGCTCGTTTATACCGTTGCTATATCACAGACACACACACAGTTCCGTGTTCTGGTAAAGTTACTGTTATGCAGATTTGGCCTTCAGTCCACCATGACTGCATCGTGTGCTGAAATTAATCAACTTGTGACATGTCAAGGTGCCCGGAGTTGTTTAAAATAAATGTATATTTTTTGTGCTGATATGAACCTCCGAAATGACATCCACAATCTTTTCTTCACTGTATCTCAGCGTGGACGGCGAGATATTCCGACTGCAGCTGTCAGTTAGTATCAAATTATTCAAAAGTGAACGTCATTAATACAATGAGAGCTGGCACGCAAATAATCTATTGAGGTTGTGAAATTGTGCAGATTTTGTTCATAATTCCAGTTCAAGAAAATGATTCATTAATTGTATTCACATCCATATTTTGTTGCTAATGCGTCATAGACGCTATTCTGGCCATCTCCTTGCTCGCATGAATGTTTTCCCCCTTAATGTTTGGCTGATATTCTCATTTTCATAGTCAGACCCTACACATGGCATATTTAGAAAGAAAACACCATTAGTCATTAAATTCACATATTATTTTCCCTGAAAAGCGAGAAAGCGTGGCGAATCGGAGAAAATCCTCACGTTAGCAGTTTTATTGCCTTTTCTTTTCGACTTCCCTGATGTGCAGAAGCGTCAATATCCCTTACACTGTGTTTACACAAGTGGGCCCAAAGTCGAGCTTCACATTATGCAGAAAAAACAGTCTGCATGGGTCATCTGGCGCCAGAAAAATGTTTAGCTGTTACGAAAATATAATCTTTTCTATCAAAAATAAACGTTTGATGAAGCGTTTCAAATGTTAAATGTCTATGTATACCTTCTACATCCTGACGCAGGATTCGTACTACCCCTAATATGAACTTTGTGAAGAAGAATTTTCTGAATTTACGCGAATCCTTGGTTCATAATGGTCTCTCAGGGCAATGGATTCACAGGTGTCACAGATTTCACAGGTTTCACAGATTTCACAGATTTCACAAATTTCAAAGATTTCACAGGTTTCAAAGATTTAAGAGGTTTTAAATATTTCACAGGTTTCACAGATGTCACAGATTTCACAGGTTTCACAGGTTTCAAAGATTTCAAAGATTTCACAGGTTTCACAGATTTCACAGGTTTCACAGGTTTCACAGATTTCACAGGTTTCAAAGATTTCAAAGATTTATAAGATTTAACAAGTTTCACAGATTTCAAAAAGTTCACAGGTTTCACAGGTTTCAAAGATTTAAGAGGTTTTAAATATTTCACAGGTTTCACAGATGTCACAGGTTTCACAAATGTCACAGATTTCACAGGTTTCACAGGTTTCACAGATGTCACAGGTTTCACAGATGTCACAGGTTTCAAAGATGTCACCAGGTTTCAAAGATTTCACAGGTTTCACAGATTTCACAGGTTTCATAAGTTTCATAGGTTTCGTATGCTCACAGTTTTGACATGCTTAATGGTTTCACAGGTATCACAAGTTCGCAGGTTTTATAGGGTTCACAGGTTAACATGTTTCACAAGCTCACAGGTTTCACGTAACTCAAATAAACTTACGACCTGCCTTGCGATTCCCTCCTACTCTAAGCTGACACGTTACACTATCAGTGAAAACCTTTAAAAGTGCTCTGAAACCCAACTCATACACTGCACTAAAAGTTTCGATCATGCGTTATTATTCTATGTAGTGTCACTCGGTTACATCGACTTGTGGGATCAACAAGAGCCTTTTACATCATACGACAATAGCAGCCCAGTCAGCCCAGTGTAGTTTCAAAACAAAGGCGTCAGTTTCTAACTGATCAATCTTCAACCCTTCCCGTGCGTCTACGATACACCCCGGAGGAAACGTATAGCATCCAACCTTCAAAACAGTGATAGAGGTTTCCGCAGTTAACATTAAAAAAGACACACGCAATTATTGACAAAACACCAGAATCCCATGGTATCCATTATCTTTAGCGTGTTTGGATAAATATCCGTTTTCATTAAACCAGCGTTTGTAGCCTTTGTGCTATTGACGTTTGACCGTGTGATCTGCTCCGACTTGGGTAAATTGTATGGACGCACTGGATGATCAATACCGGGACATTGCCACCATCGCAGCAAATGAAAGAGGAATACTGTAATGTTTTTAAACGAATTCGATAGCTAGTCATGAAGTTTTAAGGACGCCTTCAAGCATATTGACAGGTTCAACAAAGTTTTCAACCACGGGGGGTCCTTTCCGAGTTATGCTATTTAGGAGGCATTTTTGTTGTGGCATGCACAATTGTGTGACATTAACAGATCAGATCTGTGCTCAAAGCGGTGTACTCCCTACCTTCTTTCTTACTCACTCACTCACGAATAGTGTAGCGTCAGGATTAAGTCCAGTGTTTACAACAAGTCACTTCACGGCGTGCAGTTTAATGTAGAACAAAGCAAAATGTGGAGGACCTTAAGCAAAGAAAATCCCCTGTCTACGTTAAAAAGCTATTGTTCTCGTAAACGCCGAACACATCACCTATCACGTATTAACCCCTGTACGTCTGAGTATGTAATGGTCTCTGTTTAAAGCTGGTGCAGTGATATAGACAGTATATCCTTACAAGGCGTCACAGCGTACACGTCCTCAACTCTGAGGTCAGTACAGAATGGTTCAATAGTCTCTCAGACTAATATCCTCTGACTGGGTAAGACTACCTCTTGGGAACGAATGTGAGTCTGGCCCTGTGGTGACGTTGGTGTGTTTGGTTCCAGAAATCTGAAGGATGGTATTGACTGTGTGGACGACATCTTGGACGCCTGCAAGGATAACCCTGCCCTCCAGGGACAATACGACATGCTGAAGGACCGGATGGCACAGAGTCGAAAGGATTTCGAAATATACTGTGAGTATACATTGGAATTTTAAAAAATAACGTAAAGTGTGTATTCTTACGCGCATTTTAATGAATTATTATAGTTTCTTCCGAAGTTTCTTCTTGGCGAATGCAACAGAACTTAAAATTTTACGTTATGCCATCGTGTAACTTGAAATATCTTCTTCGAAAAGGCCGATGGACAAACTGGAACTGCCAGACCAAGGATTGGAATCGGACTTTGAATAGAACCACTTTGTTCCTGACAAAAGTTGTCAAAATCATATCATATATGTGTGGTCGGAAACAACAATTACCACATATGTAATGTGACATTAAGCTAAACACTTTTCAAAGGACCCTACTCATGACCAACAATAATAATTAGGTTTTCGTTAAATCATCACATACGATTACATCATCAATTACGTTAATATCACACACGATTATATCAAGTGAGATTATCATACTTGGTGAATGCAAAATCATTCCAGCAAATTTACAGTACTTGACATTTCATGATGTGTCTGTGTACAGCGTTTCCTTATTACCATTTCAGTTATTTAGAAACAATTTGGATCTTTTGGAATACTCGACGTTATTTATTGCCTTCAAACAGAAAAATACCAAAACAACTCCTGTAGGTTATCAGGCATGCCGATGTTCTGTGACGAATAAACAAAGTGACTAAACACGTTGAAGGTGGTGCATCTGAGGGAACCACCATTTGACATTCTATTTATTTGTAGGTGAGGTGAAATTGGGTTTAACGTCGCGTCCAAGATTATTGCACTTATATAGCGACGTGCATGTACGTGTATGTGTTTGTGTTTGTGTGGCTGCCTGTACTAGTCCGGACTAATGCCGATTCATAGTGCTAGCTCACTGAGATACCATGCCGCAGTTTAACATGAATACCCCACTCAGAGACAGTATACTGACTCCGAGCCGACCAGTCCTTGTTTAAGTCCCTGCTGAGCGCCAGACAGGGTAACAACAAGTACTATCTTTTAACGTCTTTTGGTATGACACGGCCGGGGATCGAACCCCGGACCTTCCGTTCTCCGGACGGACGCCCTACCACTAGACCACGGAGGCGGTTTATTTTTTTGTAAGAAACGCATTGCAACAATGTATAGTTTTGTGGAAGACCATCTATGTTTCAACAGGCTGAAGCATGTTTAGTTACGTCAAACATATTCCGTGACAATATATTCTTTCGATAAAATCCCAGGAACCCCCAGAATATTAAATGGTCGGTCCCTAAGATTTTGTTCGTGAATTCATCTTTTGAGGTTCATTAAGAATTCTAAGTGTTCCACATGATACAAATTCATTTTGCAAAGCCTTCTCGACGAATCAAAAGATAACAGCTGATATGTGGATATGAATGCGGTTTAACAAAAATTCAATAATTACACAGCTGTCTGCAATGCTCTATTTAGAGGCAACTCAATCTCACTTAGGTATAAAAGCAGAAAACTATTTCAATCTAGGGATTGATCAAGGGTTACCACGACCTGTGGTCAAGTCGCCTCTCCATCAAAATTAGCCTGAAGAGAACTTACTCCCCTGGGATGGTAATTTGTCAATCTGACATTGAATCAAGGGGCCGAATTACCCGCTACTATAACTTCAGCTGACCAGTCCATCTTTCTGAATGAACTAACATGTCAATCATTGCATGGAACCGTTTATACTGGGACAGGGAATGGAACTGTGAAGTGCTTTATTTGACTGCTTCATGCAAGTGAAAGATTAACATTTAGTCTCTGAAATCTTATATTACACAATATCATTCTTGACTCTAAATTTTTTTTTTTTTAAATCCCTAAGCTGAATTTCAGAATAGAGCTAGCTTGAGCTGGCTAGACTTGCTTTTGAATACATTTCTAGATTATTATTTTTTTCATAAAATAAATATATTCCACGGTTGTGGTGCAGGGCTATGCAAGTGACCACACTATGACAAATGTATCGGACAGTTTGACTTGAAATAACACTTATGTATGTTTTGTTCATTATTCACCGCTAAGAGATTCACCGCCGGACGCTCTACCGCTAGACCACAAAGGCGGTCTCTTAATAAGGAGACCGCCTCCGTGGTCTAGTGGTAGAGCGTCCACCCGGAGAGCGGAAGGTCCGGGGTTCGATCCCTAGCCGCGTCATACCAAAAGACGTTAAAAGATAGTACTTGTTGTTACCCTGTCTGGCGCTCGGCATTAAGGGGCTAAAACAAGGACTGGTCGGCTCGGGGTCAGTATACTGTGTCTGAGTGGGGTATTCATGTTAAACTGCGGCATGGTATCTCAGTGTGCTAGCACTATAAATCGGCATCAGTCCGGACTAGTACAAGCAGCCACACACACATACACGTGCATGCACGTCGCTATATAAGTGCAATAATCTTGGACGCGACGTTAAACCCCATTTCACCTCACCTCATAATAAAGAAGTTGACATCCATGTGTATCGCTTCTAAATGCCATTTCAAAGAAATTAGTTACCTCGTTTAACAATCAGAAAGTGTTAACATTTCTTACCCATCTTCGGTAACATAAATGTTCATTGCTAACTGAATCATTATTCTTTTCAGGTGGCACCGCTGCAGGAACCGCCTCAAGTATGTTCCTGATTGTTTTTGCTTGTTTATCGTCACTGTGGTTTAGAAACACTCATATGTGAACAGTGCCTGATAAAACAGCTAATCTTTCCTGTTGAATGCCTTAACCAACAAACCTTCAGGGATAAGACAGTCCAACCCACCATGTTCTCATGGGGAGATTTTCGCTTCCACCTCGTCTGAATGCATGGGCTTGTATCGCATGGTTCCGGAATGAGATATGTCTTCAAGTGTGAATATGAAAAACAACTCACTCCGGAGCAATGCTCAAACGATAACTGATCGACATATTCGCTTAACTTTATCACGCATTTCATTGCACGATCTTTCAGCTTTTTGTTCTGCCTCTTAGATTTAGATAATGGACCTTATTTCTTTGCTCCTGAATTTTAAGAAGTTTCGTTGGAGTATCAATGGTGTAGGGCTGTGCTGAGTCATGACACTGGGTTCATATTCCTTACTCTTAGTCAATCAACACAAATCCTGTGTTCGAAGGTTTCCCCAATATGGGAAACGTCATCGTCATAGCAACTTTGTGTTTTGTAGCCATGACATAGCTGAAACATTGCCCACATCCGCAATCCGAGATACGTCGTGACGAAGACACCCGGTCCAAATCACAAATGTGAATATAGATATACCACATATATGTTGGATTCCAAACAATAGAATCAACCCCATGCCTGCACATAAATATATACCAATGTATGTACTAAGATTGCACTATGTATATGTGTATGAACCCTCGCAATTGTTAAAGTGCAATGATTGTGGTCGAAATCGTACTAAAACGAAACAAATGTTAGATAAAGTTAAAGAAACATGCCAGTTCACAAAGGTAACTGGCACACCCATGAAGGGATGAAGAATGGCAATGTGGAGAAACCAATTCAGTTAGACCATCACCGTACTCTCATGTAAAAGATGCTCCTTTTAACCCATGCTACGTACAAGCGGGTCACAAGCAGAATAATACAAAATAATGTTAGTGCACAGTATTCTCCGTGAGGGCATTATTGTGATCAAATACTCAAGTGACTATGCACATGTGTGTTGCCCTGATCAAGAACGGATGTACGCTTCTTAATCATGTGACAAAAAATTGATGATTTGACTCGCTAGACTGACTAGATATATGTGCTGAGGCTAGATATAAGGATATATGGTTCTTATGTTTGTCTTTGTTAGTTCCTTATACGGCTCCATGTTCCGGAGGCATAGCTTTATTAGAAGTGTTATTATAGGAACCAAGGTCATTTCGATGTAGGGTACGTTTAGGGACTGGTCATTGATTATGGGTGGGGTTGGGGGTGAGGTTAAGGGTAGGCATGACGAAATGACACAGCGAAAGACTATCATAACTGTAGGTGGGATGGGGAGGGAGAAGGGTCAAGAAAATTCGTTCAGTTCAACATTTTCGAAAAAAAATAAAATTATACATTTGAATATTTTTTAGGGACTGGTCATTTATTATATAGAGAGGATTATGTAAATGGTATCGCATGCATGTATTTGGGGGTCGGGAGTGTACATAAAAAAATGTTACTTAAATTTGGGATGGGGGCGGCATGATATGATACAAACTCTCTCATCTATATTAACTGATCAGTCCCATAGTTCTGTAAGCAGTGAGATTTCATTGCAAGGTAGAGGCATTTCGATCATACCCATCTCCATTACTAGGATGTAAATTGTGTTACTTTTTGTACAATCGTGTACCATAGCCCATGAATGTTACGTCATCGTTGCAATTGGCAAGTGATAATTGTCTTCCAAGTGTTTAATGAGTTCCTTTATACAATGTAAGTGTATATGTGTGTTCAAATAAAGATCTTTAATATTCGTAATTTAGCTTTTATTTTTGCAAGTTGATGTTTAAATGTTGCTGCTAAGCTGAGCGAGACCGGAAGTCCCCCTGAGCTTATGATACGAGTCGTTTTCCCTTGTGGATCCGCCGTCCATGATCGTTGTCCGTTCAGCAATTACCCTTGATTGTCACAACATGGGGATTGAGCTTCTATATCTTGACAAAACAGACGTTTTCCAGAACATTCGCCTAACCAATAGGTGCCATGTAGTCCCATGTATTACATTTATCTATACAATATTATGCTAAACATGGTAAATCCAACTTACTTCATTACATACAACGCATACGATGCATACATGTGATTTGTTGACTATCATTTGCCCATAACGATACCATCGCAGTGTACTCCACTAAGCCACTTTCAGGGAAAACTGTTTCAAGGGATGGGGTTCAAATCACATATTCAACTTCCAGGCCGAGTATTGACAAAAAGCTGTAAGTGCTGTTGACCTGAATGAAGCAAAATCAAAGCAATACTTACGAAATGCATCTATGTTGCACGGCCATAACTCCAGAGGGCGATCTACTGCACAAAGCATGAAAATTAACATAAGACTCTCTTTGCATTTATATGTGCTCCATAAGACTATCTTTGCATTAATTTTTGCTTCCATAAGACTCTCTTTGCATTAATTTTTGCTTCCATAAGACTCTCTTTGCATTAATTTTTGCTTCCATAAGACTCTAATTGCATTAATATTTGCTTCCATAAGACTCTAACTGCATTAATATTTGCTTCCATAAGACTCTAATTGCATTAATATTTGCTTCAATTAAACTCTATTTGCATTAAGTTTTGCCTCCATAGGACTTTTAATTGTTTTAAACCCTGTTTCAAGTATGCATTTTTGCACGATCAGCACTTTTTGCCAGACCCGCGTTGGATTCCGGGGTAGAATGGAACCGCAGTATTTTCCACTTGTTTCATTAGCTGAGTGCGTCGGTGTGCTATCTACGTCCTGCGAGTTTACACTGAGTGACACAGTTTTTATTCATAACTGACCTTGTTCATATTACGAAAGCCTTTGATGCTACGTATTGAGTGAGGAAAGAAAATACGTTGTCCGAGTTTGGAGTCCGAACATCGTTTCTGTGTAGAGGGCAGTTGATCAAGAGTTAGGACGACCACGGTCAAGCTGATTTTCTATCCAATTACCCTGAAGAGAAGTAGTCCCAGTGGTATGATACTTTTAACATTGTGACCTTGACACAAGGGGCCAAATTAACCTACTGTTTCTCTCAGCAGACTCATCTATCTGTCCAATTAATTGGCACCGTTTTGTGAGCTGTAGATCATGTCCTATACAATGAATGGGTCCAGGAAAACGCTTTGAACTATTTCAGTGACTCTGGTTCTAGCTAGTTTATGCGTTTGTAGTCTGAGCGAGGACACACATAGCTTCCTCTGGCATACCTTGTTCACATGAATTCATCTCTGCCACTACTTCAGACTGTCTCACATCTTTTTTAAAAAAATCGAACCTAAGAGTTGACTTATTGAACATCGATATAATCCCTTTGAACAAAGTGCACTTCAATCGGTGTTTCTTTTTCAATCCACCGACAGAAAACTTATGTGGATGTTACGGCTTATCCTGGCATGGATCTTTGCGAGACATAAGGTTTCTTCTGTCACAGCAAGAAGTTGTTCATACGTTAATCAGGCTAATGATCATGGACTTGTGATCACTTTTGAATCGTCTTGGATAATCGAGAATGTTCCTATTTTATCAATACTCAGTGTCCCTTCTTTTCGTGTAGTTTGTAGGAGACACGGATGGCCTGTTCGTCTTAATTCCCTGTGCAGATTTGCATCCCTTGGGCCGCCCAAAAATCTATGATTCTGGGTTCAAATTGCTCCGCCCAGATTATGTTTCTAGGTTTGCCGGCACCATACCCGTGCTCGTGGGTTTCTCTGAAGTGGGAATCGTCTGAAACCATCACTTCAGGCTTTAATCCCACATCAAGCTGACACGCCGTGACATAACTAAAATCGTGTTCTACGCACTCACTCGTGTAATTTGTCAAATGTAGAACAATGACGGGTAAATCCATTAGCACTGAAATGCATGAATGAAACATATGAGGTGAAATAATAATCCGATAAAGTGTTGACATTTTTCAAGACAAACATACACAGATCAGGCAGGTTACGTTAACATACATATCCAATCAATTACCACAGCATTGAATACACATGTTGATTATGTCGATTGCTAACTGACGCCATATTTGTTTTGCAGGCGGAAGCACCTCAAGTATGTTCCTGATTGGTTTGACTTGTTTATCGTCACTGTGGTTTAGAAACACTCATATGTGAACAGTGCCTGACAAAACAGCTTATCTTTCCTGTTGAATGCCTTAACCAACAAACCTTCAGGGAAGCTCTGTCCAATCTGTACCATGCTTTTCTAGGAAGGTCTAACCTTCCATTTCATGTGAATACGTTTGGTGTGAATAAGAAGAAGTGCGTAGGCCTGGACAGAGATAAAGTGATAGGGGATGGACATGTGTACTTATCGTTTAAATTATCACATATTTCATTTCACGTTATTCATCCTTTAGTTCTGCCAAACTGGTTCAGACAATGGACCCTGTATTTCAAGAGCTTTAATATATATGGATACTTTCCTACGTACATATTTATCCATGGACAACAAAAGTGTATAAAACGACATGACCACATAAAGTTAGCGCTGCATTTGGCAATGATATAAAGGACATACTTGTCAATGATTTTTAGCGCACATTACGCATTTTGACATTTGACATTCCTGTGCATCGTTCTTATGAAGAATTCATATGGAAATGAAATTTAATATCTCAAATGTGAAATGATAATCCGTTAACATTAACACATCTACAGAACCCCAGATTTGAGTGAAACTCTTTGAGAGCAATGTCAGAATTACGTCAAATGTGCGAACGTGTCATCCAAGTGACGACAACCGCAGAGGTCATTCTGTAAGTGTACATGTGAACATTACTTCGTATCAACTACCATGCGACTATGCACATCGGTGTTGTTAAGAACGTCCAGCTCTTTCCAAACCGTTTCTTGATTTATAGAAATAATGTGTGATGTGGCTAATCATTTGAGTGGGTGATCGTAATGTATGCCGTTGTCAGTATTTTAGCAGCTTCAAATTTGTACAGGATGCTGAGAAGGCTGTCTCTCGTTCAGAAGGAATGTTTCATTGTACTATTAACATTTATACTATCTCTATGCTATAGTTTGACTAAGATGTAAATTCACTACCTTTTATACAACCGTGTACCATTGCTGTTAGATCATCGTTGCAATTGTCCAATGATAATTGTCTTCCAATTGTTCCATGTGTTTCTGCATATGTATACAATGTTAGTACATAACAATTATGCCTGTAATAAAGATATATGATATTCGTAAATTGGTTTTGTTCGTTTACAAGTTGATGTTAAAGTGTTGTGGTTAGGTTGCGCGAGATTTGAAGTCCATCTGAACGTATATGTCGGGTTTATCCTTATGAATCCGCTGTCAATCCGACGTATGGCCATCGTTTGTTCGGCAATTACACTTTAAATTTGCGACAACAAGTAAACAGATGAACGAATTTGTCACTTAAATTATTGTCACAGCAGAGGGATTAATGCGTCTATACCATGACAACACAGACATGTTCCTCGGGATTTCTTACATCATAATGTCACAAGATGCTCAACCTTAAAGTATACAAGAATAACAAATGAATTATTGTAATCAAATGGAGATTCAAGCTTAGGTATCAAGATGAAATTTACTCGGCATTTATGAGGGGATTCAAGGAACATTGTCGTAGATAGTACGTCGGTGCTGTATACGTGATATTCATGAGGGGATTCAAGCTACATTGTCGTTAATAGTTCGTCAATGTTGTCTACGTGACACTCATGAGGGGACTCAAACTACATTGAAGTAGATAGTTCGTCGGCGCTGTATACGTGATATTCATGAGGGCATTCAAGGTACATTGTCGATAAAAGTTCGTCGTTGTTGTATACGTGACACTCATGAGGGGACTCAAACTACATTGTCGTAGATTGTTCGTCGGTGTTGTATACGTGATATACATGAGGGGATTCAAGCTACATTGTCGTTAATAGTTCGTCGGTGTTGTATACGTGACATTTAAAATGGGATTCAAGCTGCATTGTCGTAGATAGGTCATCGGTGTTGTATACGTGACACTTAAAATGGGATTCAACCTGCATTGTCGTAGATAGTTCGTCAGTGTTGTCTAAGTGACACTTAAAATTGGATTCAAGCTACATTGTCGTAGATAGTACGTCGGTGTTGTATACGTGACATTCATGAGGGGATTCAAGCTACATTGTCGTAGATAGTTCGTCCCTGTTGTATACATCACATTCTTGCGGGGATTCAAGCAACATTGTCGTAGATAGTTCGTCGGTGTTGTATACGTGACACTCATGAGGGGACTCAAACTACATTGACGTAGATAGTTCGTCGGTGCTGTATACGTGATATACATGAGGGGATTCAAGCTACATTGTCGTAGATAGTTCGTCGGTGTTGTATACGTGACACTTAAAATGGGATTCAAGCTACATTGTCGTAGATAGTACGCCGGTGTTGTATACGTGCTATTCATGAGGGGATTCAAGCTACATTGTCGTAGATAGTTCGTCGGTGTTGTGTACGTGACACTTAAAAGGGGATTCAAGCTACATTGTCGTAGATAGATCGTCGGTGTTGTATACATGATATTCATGAGGGGATTCAAGCTACATTGTCGTAGATAGTACGTCGGTGTTGTATACATGACATTCTTGAGGGAATTCAACCTACATTGTCGTAGATAGTTCGTCGGCGTTGTATACGTGATATTCATGAGGGGATTCAAGCTACATTGTCGTAGATAGTTCGTCGGTGTTGTACACGTGATATACATGAGGGGATTCAAGCTACATTATAGTCAATACTTCGTCGGTGTTGTGTACGTGACACTTAAAAATGGGATTCAAGCTACATTGTCGTAGATAGTACGTCGGTGTTGTATACGTGATATTCATGAGGGGATTCAAGCAACGTTGTCGTAGATAGTTCGTCGATGTTGTCTATGTGACACTTAAAATGGGATTCAAGCTACATTGTCGTAGATAGTTCGTCAGTGTTTTATACATGATATTCATGAGGGGATTCAAGCTACTTTGTCGTAGATAGTTCGTCGGTGTTGTATATGTGACACTTAAAATGGGATTCAAGCTACATTGTCGTAGATAGTACGTCGGGGTTGTAAACGTGATATTCATGAGGGGATTCAAGCTACATTGTCGTAGATAGTTCGTCAATGTTGTCTACGTGACACTTAAAAGGGGAATCAAGCCACATTGTCGTACATAGTACGTCGGGGTTGTATACATGATATGTATGAGGGGATTCAAGCTACTTTGTCGTAGATAGTTCGTCAATGTTGTCTACGTGACACTTAAAAGGGGAATCAAGCTACATTGTCGTAGATAGATCGTCGGCGTTGTATACGTGATATTCATGAGGGGATTCAAGCTACATTGTCGTAGATAGTTCGTTGGTGTTGTATACATGACATTCTTGCGGGGATTCAAGCAACATTGCCGTAGATAGTTCGTCGGTGTTGTATACGTGACACTCATGAGGGGATTCAAACTACAATGACGTAGATAGTTCGTCGGTGCTGTATACGTGATATACATGAGGGGATTCAAGCTACATTGTCGTAGATGGTTCGTCGGTGTTGTATACGTGACACTTAAAATGGGATTCAAGCTACATTGTCGTAGATAGTACGCTGGTGTTGTATACGTGCTATTCATGAGGGGATTCAAGCTACATTGTCGTAGATAGTTCGTCAATGTTGTGTACGTGACACTTAAAAGGGGATTCAAGCTACATTGTCGTAGATAGATCGTCGGTGTTGTATACATGATATTCATGAGGGGATTCAAGCTACATTGTCGTAGATAGTACGTCGGTGTTGTATACATGACATTCTTGAGGGAATTCAACCTACATTGTCGTAGATAGTTTGTCGGCGTTGTATACATGATATTCATGAGGGGATTCAAGCTACATTGTCGTAGATAGTTCATCGGTGTTGTACACGTGATATACATGAGGGGATTCAAGCTACATTATAGTCAATAGTTCGTCGGTGTTGTGTACGTGACACTTAAAAATGGGATTCAAGCTACATTGTCGTAGATAGTACGTCAGTGTTGTATACGTGATATTCATGAGGGGATTCAAGCAACGTTGTCGTAGATAGTTCGTCAGTGTTGTGTACGTGACACTTAAAATGGGATTCAAGCTACATTGTCGTAGATAGTTCGTCAGTGTTTTATAGATGATATTCATGAGGGGATTCAAGCTACTTTGTCGTAGATAGTTCGTCGGTGTTGTATATGTGACACTTAAAATGGGATTCAAGCTACATTGTCGTAGATAGTACGTCGGGGTTGTATACATGATATTCATGAGGGGATTCAAGCTACATTGTCGTAGATAGTTCGTCAATGTTGTCTACGTGACACTTAAAAGGGGATTCAAGCTACATTGTCGTAGATAGATCGTCGGCGTTGTATACGTGATATTCATGAGGGGATTCAAGCTACATTGTCGTAGATAGTTCCTTGGTGTTGTACACGTGATATTCAAGAGGGGATTCAAGCTACATTATCGTCAATAGTTCATCGGTGTTGCCTACGTGACACTTAAAATGGGATTCAAGCTACATTGTCGTAGATAGTTCGTCAGTGTTTTATACATGATATTCATGAGGGGATTCAAGCTACTTTGTCGTAGATAGTTCGTCGGTGTTGTATATGTGACACTTAAAATGGGATTCAAGCTACATTGTCGTAGATAGTACGTCGGGGTTGTATACTTGATATTCATGAGGGGATTCAAGCTACATTGTCGTAGATAGTTCGTCAATGTTGTCTACGTGACACTTAAAAGGGGATTCAAGCTACATTGTCGTAGATAGATCGTCGGCGTTGTATACGTGATATTCATGAGGGGATTCAAGCTACATTGTCGTAGATAGTTCGTTGGTGTTGTATACATGACATTCTTGCGGGGATTCAAGCAACATTGCCGTAGATAGTTCGTCGGTGTTGTATACGTGACACTCATGAGGGGACTCAAACTACATTGACGTAGATAGTTCGTCGGTGCTGTATACGTGATATACATGAGGGGATTCAAGCTACATTGTCGTAGATGGTTCGTCGGTGTTGTGTACGTGACACTTAAAATGGGATTCAAGCTACATTGTCGTAGATAGTACGCTGGTGTTGTATACGTGCTATTCATGAGGGGATTCAAGCTACATTGTCGTAGATAGTTCGTCAATGTTGTGTACGTGACACTTAAAAGGGGATTCAAGCTACATTGTCGTAGATAGATCGTCGGTGTTGTATTTATGATATTCATGAGGGGATTCAAGCTACATTGTCGTAGATAGTACGTCGGTGTTGTATACATGATATTCTTGAGGGAATTCAACCTACATTGTCGTAGATAGTTCGTCGGCGTTGTGTACGTGACACTTAAAAGGGGATTCAAGCTACATTGTCGTAGATAGATCGTCGGTGTTGTATTTATGATATTCATGAGGGGATTCAAGCTACATTGTCGTAGATAGTACGTCGGTGTTGTATACATGATATTCTTGAGGGAATTCAACCTACATTGTCGTAGATAGTACGTCGGGGTTGTAAACGTGATATTCATGAGGGGATTCAAGCTACATTGTCGTAGATAGTTCGTCAATGTTGTCTACGTGACACTTAAAAGGGGATTCAAGCTACATTGTCGTAGATAGATCGTCGGCGTTGTATACGTGATATTCATGAGGGGATTCAAGCTACATTGTCGTAGATAGTTCCTTGGTGTTGTACACGTGATATTCAAGAGGGGATTCAAGCTACATTACCGTCAATAGTTCATCGGTGTTGTCTACGTGACACTTAAAATGGGATTCAAGCTACATTGTCGTAGATAGTTCGTCAGTGTTTTATACATGATATTCATGAGGGGATTCAAGCTACTTTGTCGTAGATAGTTCGTCGGTGTTGTATATGTGACACTTAAAATGGGATTCAAGCTACATTGTCGTAGATAGTACGTCGGGGTTGTATACATGATATTCATGAGGGGATTCAAGCTACATTGTCGTAGATAGTTCGTTGGTGTTGTATACATGACATTCTTGCGGGGATTCAAGCAACATTGCCGTAGATAGTTCGTCGGTGTTGTATACGTGACACTCATGAGGGGACTCAAACTACATTGACGTAGATAGTTCGTCGGTGCTGTATACGTGATATACATGAGGGGATTCAAGCTACATTGTCGTAGATAGTTCGTCGGTGTTGTATACGTGACACT